TCTCCTGTTACTTTCAAATTTCTCCTGCTACTCAAATTCTTAAATAAACCCCTGTATACCGTAATAATAATTATAATATAATATATATGGGCATGATGATGGCATATCACATACATATATGAGCATGATGATGTCATATCATAACCATATATGGGCAAACCACAGGAATTTGCCAAACAAACACTGATGCACTATCAATGCGTGCCTGTCAAACTCAACAGTGTTTGATGTAGTCAACAGTGTCTGATTTCAAACAGTCATTATTTTTATTAAACATTTCTGAAATAAGCATACATTATTAGATCATGTTTATGAACGTAAAAAAATCAATGTTTCATGATACAGTAGTTTGTGAATTATGTAACCCTTTGTGGGGTTTGTGTAGACAGAAAATTTTTTGTTGAGACTATAACACAAAATATACATATACAGCATAGATATGACATTTTGTAACTACATACATAAACACATCAAAAACAAACACAAACCTACCTTTTCAGCAACACCCATTACATTCATCTCCGGTTTCAGGTCATAGGTCGCAACCTTTGGTGATGGAACAAGGCAACGATTTTCTCCTTCAAACTTTTTTTCAACACCACCATTAAAAAAGAAAGTGACATGAGCATATTTTTCGGTTTCTGTTAAAAGGAGAAAGAAATATGAAGAAATCTCAAGTCATAGGAGTAAAGTCTTTCATACGCTTTCATACTTTCTGCTCTCCAATTTCACCCTATCATAATGTCCCCTTCTAATATTTTAACCAATTTAATTAGTGTTTTCAAAAATTAAATATTCCAATTATGATCTGGAAAATCTAGTATTGTCATTAGGCCATCAAAATTTGTAGTGCAATGACACGCACAGTGACATTTGGAAGTCAGGATCAGCCAGCCTCCTTATTTTACCATCGTCATCTGAATATTATTAAGCTAGTGTCACAAGCTATCCATTCACCTGCGCAGTGATACTGTGTCATTTTCTTGGATGCAATCCATTCTGCAATGACGTTGACCGTTGAAGTAGGGGGATAGATTACCGGCAGACCAAAATCACTCTTGTACTCGGTCATGCAAACTACTTGCTATGGGGAATAAAAGATAATTCAAAGTATACAAACACCAATACCAACAAATATATTGTAGGGCAAACAAAAAAAACGTATTCGCAAAAAGTGCAAGATGTTGTTTAATACTATGTGAACTTGAAATCTCGGTATTCTTTCACCTCAGGTCATAAATAGGTCACATCTGTGCTGCATTGTTTACTGGGGTTGTAGGGGTGAAGGGGCTTGCATCCACCACCCTCACCCCTAGGTCCTAATGTTGTTCTTCATAGCATTTCATTAAAAATAAAATTATGCCAAAGACTGTATTATATGATTATTGTCATCATCAATCTCAATTGTCATCATGAAAATGGGAATGGTGGTGACGATAATGATAACGGTGGTGATAACAGTCATGATGAACAGTATAATTATGATGATGATGATGATAAATGGTGATCAACATAATCCTGACAATAAATTATCTAGATTTTGGTAAAAATGTTACACGTTAAAATAAAAAATATTTTTACCAAGTCCTTCGGTACAACACTCGTCTCAAAATGCTGCTGGATAGCAAATGCCTCAACAATTTGCCTCATTCTATCTGCACGAAAATCAAAGAACACTAATGTGTCACCATCTTGAATTCTACCTTCAGGATCGACAATAATTGGCTTCAAAAATTCATCCTTCTCATTCACAGCATAGCGACCTTTTACAACCTTAATGAAAGGGATGTTAAGGGAAAGTATATTAGTCAAAGATCATAAAACTGAAGCAAACATTTTATCAGTTTCATAAAATAATAAAATTAATATATTACTAGATATAACACTACATTAATAGATTCAACACTACTGACTAAGCACAAGCTCAGTGGTCTAGTGGTTATGACACCAGGCTAGTTATTTGGAGGTTGTATATTCGATTCCCACCTGATTCACTTGCGATTATATTCGCAAGTATTTGGGAATGTACTGAGCATTCAATATGATAACATGTCAGGTAGGGCAAAAACGTCATTCCATCATACAATATTATAAATAAAAACCCTCCAGAAGTACCTCAACAACATTTTCAGGAGTCGTAACTTCTCCTAATCCTTGAACCAGCCCTTCATAAGCAAGCTTAATCCTCTCATGCCTTTTGTCCCGATCCATAGCATAGTAACGCCCAACAACTGTTGCTAAGCTACCATAATCCTCTTGTTTCAAGAAATCTAATAACTGCTGCAAATATTTCACTTTGGAAAAAATAATTTTATCTTTGTTAAATATATATGATTTACAGTATAGCAAAATGGAATTCACTATGAAGCAAAAACAAATTTATTTGATGAAACTAAGCTGACATTCTTCTATAAATGTATATTACTTTGAAACATCAAATATTAAGTTTAGATTACAAAAATTAATTTATCCAATATCAAAATTAATATGAATGAAACTTAAATATTTGCAGAAAACAAAATGTCATAAATTTATCAATTTCTTACCTCCACTCACTGGGCTTGTGTCTCGCCCATCTCCAAAGAACTGTACAAAACTTTTTGGCACCCCATGGCTTTTGGCTGCTTTCAGGAAGGCAAGTAAATGGTTGATATGTGAATGAACGCCACCATCACTCACCTGTAGGCAAATTAATAAAATAATATAAATAATAATAGCAACAGCAGCAATAATAGGTTAATAATATTTGCAAAAATGGGAGCCCACTCTTGCCAGAAGGATGTCTCCCCAAGAAAAAATTTAGAGTGTGAAAATATATGAATCCATACCAATCCTAGGAAATGCAGTCGTCCATTTCCCTGGATAGCTCTTGTGCAGGCATCAACAAATGCCTTCTTCTGTCCAAATTCACCTTTCTTGATGGCCAAGTCAATTTTTACAATTTCCTGAAAGATAAATTGAAGAAAATAAATTATAGAAATGGCATGCAATTTCTGTATAAATGTTAAGTAATACATGAACAAATTAAAAAATTAAATTTTCTATAAAGATATGAGATACAAATTAGCCAAAATACAGAGTGCTTCAAACACTGAGATATCAGGGGTCCTAAGCTGGGAGAAGTCGCTTTCAGGGCATCTAGTTTAATGAGGACATAGCTAATTGTATTTTGCTGAGCATGGCGATGCCCATTCCAGCTGACTTCATAGAGAGACCTGATAATACAGTAGTAAAAACATGTAAACTTTATGAATTGCAGGACATGGGTTAATGTAATGGTTGCTCATGGGAACAGTGCCATTCTCTGAAAGACTCCTGCTAGAAAACTAAAGATCTCTTTGAGATAGAACCAACCTACCTGATAAATCACTCTCCCAGCACCAATGGTCAAATGTCCAACCTCACTGTTTCCCATTAAACCTTCAGGAAGACCAACAGCAAGACCAGAGGCATCTAATGTCACAAACTGACCAGTAGTTGGATCACACAACGAATCCATAACTGGGGTGTCTGCATTTTTAATTGCATTACCTGTACAGAGGAAAACATTTTAATATATTATCAGCATTGACAGATTATGAATACACCAAAACGTTTAAATGATACACCAACAGCAAAAGGCAACCATTAATGGCATTTGTTTCACATGATGAAATGCACATTTGCCTATCTTTAAATGTCAGGATTGGAATGAACCCTACTCCATTTTTTTGCCAATGGCAGCACCAGCTGCATGATTGTGCACAAAGGACCCCTGTGGAGAATTCTGAATTCTTCTTCTTACCTTAGTGATTCTTACCTTAGTGATAGTTTGCTTTGAATTGATTAAATGAGATACTACTGACAACATGCTCGGGTAGACAGTTCCATTTATCAATGACTAGTGTCGAAAAAGGAGTCTCGAAAAGTAGTGTTGTGTTTAAAAATCTTATAAGTATGACCTTGAGTATTATGTAATCTTTGTAGTGTATGTGTGTAAAATAACTATAATCAATGTTTTCAAAACCATGAATAATCTTAAAAACCTCCATCATATCTCCTCGGTTCCAAAAAAAAAAAAAAAGTGCTTTGCAAAGGCAGAGCCAATCGACCAATCATTTAAATTATATTTCGTTTGACGATATTTTGTGGATGTCCTTCCTTATTTATCTGTGTTGACGGAGGTGCTGTAGTGTGTTTTGTATAGGCCTAGCGTGTTCTATTGTTCCAAGTTTATTTTTAAACATTATTTTATAGTTCCTGAATCTGAAACATTTACTCTCATTTCATCTGGACGAACCTGTTATTACACTGTACGAATCAAGGCTGTTGTAGCAGTGAGAGTCGGAAGTTGATTTACATATTCAACCTCAATACTAATTCATAATCCACGACTGTTACACCAGCTAGGGTCTATGCCTAGGTCTATTCCCTCTTCCGCGTCCGCCACCAATCCGGAGAAGCTAGCTAGAAGAGGAGGGCCTAACTAGTAGTAGGCCTAGTAGACAGAGTGAGTAGGACAGCCCTAGCCTAGCTAGGCCTAGGCCTAAATAAGCCGGCTCCCTGGTTATTATAATTATCTTATCCATTATTAATTTAATTATTTAAAAATACTATTTACAATTTACCTTTTGTTTTATCACTCAGTCCCCATCCGTCAATAACTACTAAACAGACACTCATTTTGACTTTTAAATAACTAAATAATTACTGAGAAACTAACCACTCACTCACGTTCTCAATGATGATGTGTGTGAGTGTGAAAAAAGAAGAACGATATCCAGGTCAGTGAGAGTTGCATATGGATATATGCTCAAGATAGCAAAGCAAGTTTAATGCTAGTACTGTATGGGACGCCGAATGCGTGCAGTTAATATGCAAAGAACCTTGACATTTTCTGTTTCGTAGCCGTTTTAGAATTGACTGACACGTCTATGGAAGGTTCTTACCAGAAAAATACGCCTTTTTCACGAATCGGTAGACATCTTGAAGTGATGACAAACATTGCGAATCAGCGGTGCGTAACCAACAGAAATAAGATAAACTTTTGGGCTGATTTTCTGACATCATGTTATTTAAAAAATCATAACTCCATAACGGGGCGTCGTATCCAAAAAGTTTTTCCAGGAAAATGTTCTTAAAAGACCAGTCTACACCACCATATGATTGAAAAAAA